TGTCTGTCGTCTGTGCCCCTACGTGTCTACCTGCGTGTGAATCTGCGTGTCTGTGAGGCTTGTGCGTCTCTGTGTGTGTGTGTGTCTGTTTGTCTGTCTGTGCGCTTAACTCTGTGTCTGTGTCTTTGTCTGTCGTCTGTGCCCCTACGTGTCTACCTGCGTGTGTGTCTGCGTGTCTGTGAGCTTGTGCGTCTGTGTGTGTGTCTGCGTGTCTGTGAGCTTGTGCGTCTGTCTGTGTGTGTGTGTGTGAGCTTGTGCGTCTGTGTGTGTGTCTGCGTGTCTGTGAGCTTGTGCGTCTGTCTGTGTGTGTGTGTGTGTGTGTGTGTGTGTGTGTGTGTGTGTGTGTGTGTGTGTGTGTGTGTGTGTGTGTGTGTGTGTGTGTGTGTGTGTGTGTGTGTGTGTGTGTGTGTGTGTGTGTGTGTGTGTGTGTGTGTGTGTGTGTGTGTGTGTGTGTGTGTGTGTGTGTGTGTGTGTGTGTGTGTGTGTGTGTGTGTGTGTGTGTGTGTGTGTGTGTGTGTGTGTGTGTGTGTGTGCGCGTTCTGTTGCAAACGTGGTGCAACAAAGTTTTGGAGAATGCAACGGGAAACTGAAGTGCATAGCATTGTCAACGGTGATAAACACAGTTGCATTTCTGATCTGGAAACACCACTGCACACACACACACAACACACACACACATGCACTGCATGGTTCTATAGTTTTCGCCTCAGTGTCTTCAGCCTACTTTCCAACTCAAGCAAGCATTTGCGAGTGTTCCAGCTACCCAGATGTTCTAGCAACTTATATTATCAAGTACAGTAGGTTCTAACCCTCTTCATAAGCGGGGCAACAGAGTGGTAGTTCCCTTAGAACTATTGTCATAATGATGACCCCAGACTAATCAACCCCTGTTTATTAACAGGGGGGTGGGGGCCCCTCCAATAGTGGTCTGATTCCAACCACTAAACCCAGAATGGGACACCCCATCAGCCCCGCTTGTTTGTGACAATTTTGGACTGGTTTGGGCTGCCGGGGGAAACCGGCATGGATGGACGATTTCTGCTCCGGAAACCTCATTGTCATAATATTACCAAGTAGGTCCCCCAGTAGTGCCCTTTCTCACCCTTTTTTTGGGGGAGGGGTTCCCCTAAGATAGACAAAACTGAAAAAAGTGGGTACCAACTTATTCGAGCCTCTCTGGAGGACCTAAAAAATCGGGTACCAACTTATTCTAACCTCTCAAATCTGGAGGACCTGGGTCATAATATTTGCCAAGCAGCTTGACCCTCCAGGCCTTGAGTTTGCCAGGTGCAGTCGCCTTCCCGGGTGGCAAAGGAGCCTTCCCGGGCGGCTGCTCGGATGCGCGGATGACCATGGCACCTAGAAAGTCCCTCAAGACAAGTGATCTTCCAGAAAACCCTCCCACAAATGCTGTGTTAGTGGGAGGAAGGGCGGTTTTGTTTCCTGTCTGGGATGCAAAGAGGAGTTGGCAGGAGCAACTCCCAATTTCCCTTTGAGAGCTGCAACAGCGGCAATTTCAGCGGCAGTTGGTCGCGGATCACCATCGACGTCATCAGGGGATATGAATATCGCCCACTTTTGTGCTTGGAGTAAGGGGACTCTCTCCTTTTTTAGGTGAAACAACCGGACCCCCTACAGAAAATCAGTTTCTGCTGGGTGGAAAGATAAACCCTGCTTTTTGATTGCCGAAAATCAAGCTTGATACACGCAAAAGAGGCGAACGTTCTTCAATTTAAGGTTCAACCTTTATTTTCGACCCAGGTGTCAACTAATATACCATCCCTGTTCAATGTGGGTGTTGCAGTTGTTGTTGTTTGCGTGGGTGCATGTATGAGAGCCCCTGTGTCAATTCGGGGATTGACGCTGCATCGCTGCTAGATTGTTTCTGCAGCTCAAGTCCTGGAAGCCATGAACCTCAACTGAAACTGGACCCCAACCATGACCAACGCATGGGGTTTGCAACATATGGAGCCAATGCCTAAGAAGCCAACACAGAATTGGGGTGTTGCCCGGAAAAGTGAGCCTGAAAGAAGGGGCGATCGTGCTTCCTTGCGAACTGGTTGGAGCCGGATGTGCAAAGGTGAAACAATGGGAAGCATAGTCAGGGTTGCTCCGAGCCACATAATCACGGCACAAGGGTGACACATGTCTCACTTCCCTTGACTCCCTTCGTTCAGGCTCCCTGCAATTGGTGGTTTGGATTGGTTTATGAATTTGAAGCTCTTCTTGTAGAGGATAAATAGGAAACCCCTCCACCAAACCACCAAACCACACACAAAGAGGGACGCCTTCCGGGTCGCAGCAAACCCATCATGGTTGATCAACCACTTTGGTAGAGAGTGCACCAAACCCCACTTTCCACGACACAAATGTTTCATGGCAAGTGGGGTGGGCATTTTTTTAACCTCGAGCGACTCGAGCCAGCTTGTTTTCACCCCCCCCCCCCTCTTGGGGGGTGGCAAGTGTCATAGCTCCTTCGTCCCACCTGTTTTAAGGCCTAGACAAAAATGCCGTGCCCCGGGCTGAGTGTATTTGTCAAATCATGATCACTGTGATTCAACCTGCATATATATATATATACACACATGTTTATGCACATTTGAGTACATTAGCCATAACAAAGGGTGGTACACTAGTTCCAACATACGTCTGTGGCACCCGTGGTTCGTTGACGTCATACTCATATAAACCGCTTTCCAGGAGACCATCCAGGAAGCAGGCGTCTCAGTGGGCGACTTCCAGGCCGGCGAGTCGTTCCGGGCGAACCTTTGAGCGCCTTCGGAGGCCAAGTTTGTAGGTGGTCTAATGGTTGCCTGGAGGGGGTGTTACAAGGTTTAAGGGTTTCGCAACCACGGACCACACTCGAGCACATACATATATAAATATATTATATATACATATATGTATACATATACACATGTACATTCATTGTGTGGTTGGGGGCTCAAAAGCTGAGGAAGTCGGGAGGCAAAGAGAAGGCCCCTAACGGGCGGAGGGATGAGAAAGGGAGGCGCAGGACAGTACCACCAAGGTATCACTTTGGGAATTCTCAGGTTTTGGCAGGTTGGGGTGTCGAAAAATGGGTCTTCCTGCAGCGGTGCAACACGGTCAGAGCTGTTTCAGGCCTGTTGGTATATACATGTTGTTTTTTTCAGGATTCGGACCCCCAAGTTTAGTTAATCACCCGAATTTTTTCGGGTACCCTGAAAAGAAGAGACACCCATATGGCTGTGGCTCAAAAAACCGGAATTCCAAAATGGGCTGCCCTGGTAAGTGGAACCATGGACCAAAACCTGCGTAACCCCTCCTGTTTAATTTTGAGCCACAGCCATATGGGCCTTCTTGTATTGCATGGGAGTCGCCGAGTGATCACTGCCCCATCCCGCAGACCATCCGCGTCTTGGGCACCGGGGCTTCCTGCCGAGTAGTGCAGGCGAGCGGCGGAGTCAAGTCGGATCAGAGCTGTTTTGCCTTGAGGCTCTTTGCTATGAGGCTTGGGTAGACGTCTCGAATGGAGTAGGTTCTATGATTCAGCGACTTCTTTGGATAGATGTCAATATTTGACTAGAATCTAGGTCCCCCAGTAGTACCCTTATTCTAACCTCTCTACTGGAGGACCTAGGAATTGTCCAGGTAATCTTTGCTGAGTGTGCTTTCGAGTATAACTCGCCACTCCTTCACCCTGATCTTCTGGCCTCCAAAAACGGACTTTCGACTTTTGAGTCACGGCTGGGAGAGAGGATAGGGCACATTTGGTTTCAACAAGTAGTGGGTGGCCTCCCCCCGATAGGGATATCTCCTTTTGTGAACAAACGATAACCGATGCAGACGACCCCTCATTTTCGCTAGTAGACATCCTTGACTTCTCCCTTTCGAAGTAAAGGCATCCCTTTGCTTGTACAGTCCGCCTGACTTTCCAGCCACTCACATGCAAGTTGCAGAAATGCACCCTTTGAAGAAGACCAACCGGCTTTGCAGTTGCAGAATCGTGTCAGTGAGAGGCTTGACGTTTGGTTCAAAGATTTGATTGAAGGGCCTGATTAGCTGGTCACTGTTGGCTGGACAGTCCCATACATTGTCATTCAGGTCCGGGCAGAGCCGTTTTCTTTTTGTTGACAGGACAAACATGAAAGCACCAGTGTGGAAACCCTCTTTAGGGAGGGCCCCGTTGTTTCCTTCCACAGCGCCTCAAGAGGTACTGTAAACCCTAGTGCCCTTCATAGCCATCCTGTGGATGGACGAAATCGTGACACTACTTGGGATGGATAAAACCTAGACTGAACCACCAACTGAAAGGTTGAACAGGTTGCTACCTTTGCATTTCTCGTCACGCCGTTGTCACGCTTACAGTTCAGGTTCAAGAGCCCCTTGAATCCATTGAACCCGTGATTGGAAGCAAATGGGTGTGGGTCATAAATGACCCAAAATGTGCTGCCGTGGTCCATATAAGTGGAAAGGGCTAAAACCTGCTGGCCATTTGATGCCTATGGTTTTGACCCATTCCCAATTAGTCGCCCAGAAGTGAAGTAGATTTCACCTCAGTCAAGGGTCGATCCCTACTTTCGGCACAGAACCAAGCGACCCAGTTGATGCGTTCGACCAATTCGCCCGCAGGTTCGGCACAAGATGACAGGCAAGGAGTACGCAGTGAAGGCCGAAAGACACGGCAGCCACGGGGAGAGGATTTAAACATGACTTTTGGGGCCACGTAGAGTTCAGATTCCCTTGTGGTCGGTGATGTTTGAAGGGACATAGGAATGCTGATCCCATGTGTCGGTCCATAACAATTATCGATCCCTGCAAATGATTTGACTCCGGGCTACCAAAAACGGGGCTGGGCCAAAGGTGAGTTCCGTGTAGACACGAGAGTATTTTGCAGGAAGCCATACGCCACTGCGTGGCAGAACAGACCCATGTCAGGGAGAGGGTCCAACCAAGCTTACGGGACATCGCGTCGCCTCTGCTTTTGGCCGCCCTTTTCCATCCTTGTGAGCTCGGTGGTGTTTAGGCTCTCAATAGATCCACATCACCTTTTTGGATCCCACATCAGTCACACAAGCCCACGGTCATCTTCTTCATCACCCGCATGCCGGCTCACCAGGCCGGCGAATGCGCCAAAAACTGCGGGGCTTGCACGGTTTTTCTGCAAGGGGCGCGCAAGGTGCGCAGTTGTTTTACTGAGTGCACCATGTTTGGGTGGGTTCAAAGGGAAAGTTAAAAGGAACACCGCCATGTGTCTTTTCCCGGGTCCCGCGATTTGGACACGTCATTCACATGCACTGTGCAAAGCGGGTGGACCAGGGATCCGGGGCCCCCAGGGGGTATGTACTTTCAGTTTTGTGAAGAAGATCAAGCCTTGCGCGTACCTGATTTGTCAGGGAAGGCTCTAGAGGCTTGTAGAGGCCGGAAGTTGTTTTTCTTGGGGGGTGTCTGATATTTGACACTTTGTCTCAGGGCACCCCTGAGTTCTATCGGAGAGAACCAGCTTCCTTGGGGGGTCCGCTGTGTATTCTCTTTAAAACACGCAGCGTTGAATTCAGGTGATGAGCAAGCGCAAGCTTGTCACCCACGACAAGAAACTGGAGCGTCGGAGACTCAGAGTGGAAACATGGCTCGTGCTCATCGCTAGCTTGAGGACCCGCCAAGCACCTTTGGATGATCCCGGAACTGCCTCAGCCATTCTTCAAGTGTTTGGGTATCCCAAGAAGGCTATGCAATGTGCATCATGTCCTCAAAAGTCACAGAATTCGAGAAGTAGACGGTTTCACAGGGTGCAGCTGCACTGCTGACATTGGAGACGGTCCCGGAGTGGCAGTTAGGTGATTCCAACAGTCTGGGAGCATCTAAAGATGTGTTTGTCCATGGGACTTTCCTTAAATCGCCGAACGGAAAGGGTTACTTCTTTGGGACAGACCCATTCTGAGAGAAAAAGCGGGTGTCATCTTGGAGTACGTATCCAGACGACTTTCTTCGTGTGTGCTGCCGCAGTTCAGCAAGTTCGGTCAAACCATGTCACAATGTATGGTCCGAGCGAAATTGAATCAGCAAGTTCAAAGACAACACTGCACGGGTCCCAGCCATCCCCTTAGACATTGGCTTTTTAGGGGTTAGTGGTGATTTCCATCTAGCCCACCAAAAGTTAACAGTTAGGCTTTTACAGGGGATCTGAGGACAGCCGAGTCAGTCATTCAGTCATGTTGAAACATACGATTGGCCCAACCCTGCTCCCTCGCAGCGCCTTCTGTCGGGCGAAGAACGTATGTATCTTGTCAATGTTTCATTTGGGCGTGTCCCAGGTTTTCACGTGAAACTTGGAGCGACTTTGGGCTTTCTATGTCATCTCCATCTGAAACTTGCGCAGGTGCCATCGCTGAAAAGCGTGTACTGGCACGGCTCTCCCATCCGCAGCTTGGCGTGAGAGCCGTTTGCGGGTTCTCGGGAGCTCACTTCCTGAGTTCCGTTTCGCACTTTCTCGTCACGGTTTGGGAAGACCAGTTTGGGCAAAGAGAGATCTCGGGAGCTTTGCTTGGCCAATCCACATCGGAAGTGCGGAGGGTGTTGGGAGCAAACTCGAAGGGGATGTTGAAGCCGAAACCACCAGTTGCTCACTTGCCCAAAGCCAACCTTTTGACCTTTTGGTTTCCCCTTTTTGGTCCATTTTTAGTCATGGCCCCAAAAGTTAAGAAAGCATAAACCCCCCCTCCCTTACCCCCCCCCCCTTTCCTTGAGACATGCTATAGCACTGCTATTGGAGTGTTATAACACTGTTAAAGTATTTGGCTCCCAAAGGGTTCCCCACTGACTGGCGGCGCGACAAGCCCTGGAAAATGACACCCACCACTACGCTCATGCTCGTCCCCTTCACACCCCTTCCTTCTCCGTCCCCTGCCCTTCCCGTCCGCTCCCCCGAAGCTTCAGAAGTCCGTAAGTCTTCCGCAAGCCTTGGGGGGACCACCCTTGTTTCATCCCCAATCTCCTCCCCCCTTTTTCCCGAAGCTTTCCTAAGGCTTCCGGAAGCTTCCGCAAGGCTTCCGGAAGGATTCCGGAAGCTTCCCCAAGGCTTTTGGGAAGCTTCCCACCTATTTGGCCCAAAGCAGGGGGGGTAAAGGGGGGGGGTTGAGGCTTCTTAAAAAAGGTTAACCTTTTATTTCTGGGCAACTGAGGATGTACAGTTCAGCACGGGGTCACTTCGTTCCCTGCTCCGAACCTGCAGGTTTCCATTTAGCCCCGAGACCCTGGATCGGTGCGTTTCGGGATCGGGATGCGTACTTGGAAGCATGGTTTTGGGACTAGGTCCCCCAGTAGTGCCCTTTTACCCTTTTTTGGGGGAGGGTTCCCCTACTAAAAAAGACTACTGATTCCAGTTCATGCCCTTATTCTAACCTTTCTGCTGGAGGACCTAGATACGGTTTCAACCAAGGGTGGCAGGGCAAGTCCTGTCTTTTGGTAGAGAAGGCATATAGTTGCAACACCATCTGAATTGGGAAGCGAATTGCTTTGGCAATGGAGAAGTTTTATTTACACATTTTTTCTGCGAGAACTCACCAAAGGACAAAACGACTCATGCATCATAATGTGTCATTTGTCACGAGTATTCCTGTTTTTTGTTTCGCACTCAAAGGGTCCCCCCTGCATCTCCTAGCCGCACAGAGGAGAACCCGTTCGCTCAAAGAGGAAGCCTCAGTCATGATGGCTCAGCGCTTCAGCAAAAATACCGCAAGGTGACAACCGAAAACTATGGCGTAGCTACTCATTGGTCTGTGCTTCCTTTC